CAGGCCTGGCACTGTGCGGCCAGCTCCCTCCCCAGGCCTGGCACTGTGCGGCCAGCTCCCTCCCCAGGCCTGGCACTGTGCGGCCAGCTCCCTCCTGGACATCGCAGGTATGGAGCATCTCAGCATTTCTGCGCCTCCTCTTGTGCTCCTCAGAGGAAGAGTGGGCCGGCCTAGTGCTGGGTGAATGGACGCTCTTCGTCCTCTGTGTGTCTCTGGCTAGTGGGTGCTGGCGTTCTGTGTGTGCACACATGTGCGCCTCTCTCCTAGTGGTCCTGTGGATTCTAGCTCTTTTCACAATCCCTCACCGAAGCCGACCCCATCTCTCGGCTCCTCTCCCTGCCCAAGTCCAGTCCTGCTTTGGTGCCAGTTGGTTCTTGGAGGGGCCTGCTGCCCCCCGACCTGCCGACCTGCAGGTGGACACCTGGCACCTACCGGGGGTGTGGCCTGGCGATGCTGTATCGACAGAGTCCAATTCTGGGGGAGCCTTTCTTGCCATGCCCAAGCACCCTGTGCTTCTGTCCAAGCCAGCTTCTGGGTTCTCTCCGCGCAAGCCCCAAACACCACCAGGCGTTAGCCCCACCCCCAGCCACCACGTCCTAAGTGGCCTGCTCAGGGCTGCATGCTCATCTCCCTCATGCCCGAACCCACTGTGGGCAGGATGAGTGGAGGCGCTGTGGATCTCCAGCTCCCGGCCCAGGCCCTTCCCGCTTGCTTCTTTCCACACTTGGAAAGGACGTTGTTCATCCTGCCAGCATCCAGTGAGGAAGCGGTTCCCGGAGAGGGATGGTGCACAGATTCAGAGACAGCTGCCACTGTCCTCAGCCCCCCACAGCCCAGCGGAGGGCTCAGGAGCAGGCGGGGACGACACCCCTTCCCGCCCGCTCGGCCCCTGTCTGTGGAAACTCGTGAGTCAAAGGACACAGAGCCTCGTATGTGGAGGGTCAACAGGGCCCCGCACAGACAGGGAACTCTTGTGACCACATGTTCAAGGTCACTCTCGGCTCTGCGCGGCTCGCCCAGACGCAGCGGCCGACTTCGGTCGGCTTCCCCTGAGCGTGGCCACCGCAAGGAATAGACAGCACGTCCCCCAGCCAGGGGCCTGTTACCTTTTCCAGATCCGGCTCCTCTAAGCCCAGCGCTAACTCGTTGTTGTCCATCACGGAGGAGGCTGCCACGTCCAGGGGCGTGGACCCCCTCATGGAGGGGGAGGCTGAGGGGAGAGGAGGCACCCCCGTCGGTTAAGGCCGCAGGTCATGCAGTGGACAGCAGAGGGCAGTGAACACACACAGCCTGGGCCCCTCGGAGGCCCCAGAGCAGCCAGACTTACTATTCCTTCTCCCTAAAATCATGGCTGGCTGTAAACACAGATGTGTAGAAAACAAGTCTACAAGAACGGGTGAGACACATATTTCCAACACCAAGAACATGTCTCCCCCAACTCCCCCCTTCTCTCTTGGTCCTAGAGTTTGAACTCTGGGTCTGGGCCTTGTCCCTGGGCTTCTTTTTGCTCAAGGCTAGCGCTCTACCACGTGAGCCACAGCACCACTTCTGGCTTCTTCTGAGTAGTTTATTGGAGAAGAGTGTCTCATGGACTTCCCTGCCTGGGCTGGCTTTGAACCACAATCCTCAGATCTCAGCCTCCTGAGTGGTGATAATAAGGTGTGAGCCACTGGCACCCGGCTAAAGAACATGTTCTCTAACACAAAACTTTCGGGGCCCCTTCTGATGATCACTCCAACACTCAGATGCCACATGAGTTTAAAAATATCTCCAAATAGCATTCGTTCACATATTCACATCAGGCCATCAACATTGCCTGTGACCTTTATTTTCAGTCTATTTGGCTTGCAGAATAGAATTAAGGAAGACTTCAGTGGCATTTTACAAAAAGGTTAGTAGCCTTCGACTGCATTTGATAAACGAAAGAGTATGATTTCAAGTGCATGTATTTGCATATTCCATACGTTCATCTGGCTTGCGCCTGACAGAGGGTCAGGACCAGGTGGCGAGGCATTTTTCTTGGATGGGTGATGGAGTCTCACTGTTCGTCTGTACTTGCTCTTGGCTGGTCTGCAGTATACTAAGTGTAGCACTCGCCAGTGGGAAGACGGGACAGGAATGAGCTCGGTAGCCAGCCTGACAAGAAGGGACTGGGTCTGTGACATCAGTCCCCTCAGCTCTGCTTCTGATCAGCTGAGTGGGCTGGGAGGGGTGTTTCTCAACGAGAGATCCTCACTTCCAGGCAGCTTTTCATACACTGCTGGCCTCTGGTCCCCAGGGGCCTGCGCCAGCACAAGTGCCACACTGCTGGTTGGTAGAAACACGTCTACCTAGGTTGGAGAACAGACGTGTTTTTATGCCTGTGTTTCTAGCACAGGTGGCATCCTCTTTTGTATTTGAAAGTATTTTGGCACATGTGGCGTGCTTCCTTGGATCTCCTATGTGATCAGCAGGGGCAGTGTAGCCTGAGTCCCAGTGTGGAAGTGTTAACACGGCAGGCAGACAATGGCAGACACACACAGACATACCTAGTCCCACACTGCTGTTCTCTAGCAGGTAACTTAGATGCTCGAACATGGCCTTCTGATTTTGCCGGCTAATTCGACAGAAATAGCAGAGGAAGCGGCAGCAGCTGGCAACCATCTTTGGGAAAGTGATCTGTAGGGAAAACATCAGGGACAGGAAGCTGTACCATTGGGCTCTTCTGGTAAGTCTGATCTCCGAAGTCATCTCACAAGTTGTGAATAGTTTGGAAAGTGAATTTTTCCCTCACTTTTCTTTCTCCCCAAGACTTGTTCACAGGAGGGACGGAGAGCAGAGGGCACCTAAGAAAAGCCTTCCCAAAACACGGGAGCTAATTCAGCTCTGGAGGGCGTAGCCGGCCCGCAGAGTCCGTTTCCTCAGGGTTACACGGACCCACCCACGCCACACGGGGCTAGTGTCGTCTTCAGCGAGGAGGGCGTGGGCCGGACCCCTCTGATGGGAAGTATCTGGAAGGGGAGCAGGGGCCATCAAAAAGCAGGCCCACGGAAATCAGGTGCCCAGAGACACGGCTGGCCTGGGGGCATGGAGGCGCCACAGCACTGCACTCCTCGGGGGAACCTTCCGCAGTTACATTTGTCCTTCATAAGTGTCTCCTGTGAGCTCCTCCTACACAGCTCAAAATCAGAGCCATGGACATCAGCACGGAGACGCCACCTCACACCACTGATGACTGTGCTCGCTGCCCCTGCGAAACGAGCACCAGCCCCCGTAGGCCCGGCCGCTACCATACCAAACGGTGCCTCAGGATGCTAGAAAGACCTGACCGGATCCCCCTGGGCATCTGCTTTGGCCTCTGACAGCCGCAGCCCCCACTTGCTGAGGATCTAGAACATACGCGGGGAATCTTGTGGACAGAGCTGACTTTCCCAAGAGACGAGAGGGACACCGGAGGGGGGGGTGAGCGGGCTCCAGTTCTTCTTTCATGTCCCCACCCCCTGTACTGGTAAAACTGGGCCAGGATCCACGTATTCCCAGCATTTGCAGCATTTGAGACGGTGCATGTACAGTCGCCAGAGCCCCCTGATGCTTCAGACGAGCTGGGACAGAGCCCGCCAGTTCCCAGTCCCCATTCCTTCCCCTTGTCACCCGCGGGACCCCTGGCTTCATGGGGGAGCTGGCAGGGAACGGGTTTGTCAGGAGCCTGCTGACAGCAGCGGCAGGAGCCCTTCAATACTGCCGGGACCGTGAGCATCCCGACATCCTCACAGCAGCCTGCTCCGGCTCAGCCCAAGGGAACGCAGCGTTGTTCCACGTTGGAAGGAGCAGGGCTGCAGGAGCAGGGCCAGACCTACGCATCGGAAGGGTGTGTGGGGTGAGGAGCTCCCCGAGCTCTGAGAACTGGCGCCAACCACGGCGCTGTCTCCTCCGTGCTCCATTCGGGCATCATGCGCAGCCCTGTCCCCCCGAGGAGAGTGAACTGAGACAGGCGGACCGGCCTGGGACGCACCCACCGCTCCACGGACCCCCGCCCTGAGTCCAGGCCTCTGCGTGGCCCTCCCTACCTGCGACTTCTCGGTTCCCAACACGTTCACCATCACCTCCATCACGGTCTCGTGCATGCCCAGGACTCGCATGAGGTTGGGATGCTGGTAAAACACCTTGTTGTTCATGATGTCTCTAGGGTAAGAGCAGAGCGAGAGGTCAGCACCTGCCTGGTTCTGTGCGCTAAGAACGCGGGGAGGGGCGAGCACACTGCGGGGGAGAGGACCGTAAGGGTGTGGGTGGCCCCTCCGCTGAGTCTTTACTTCCTGATTTATCAATATTGGCTTCTGAATGGAACATGTGGGTGACCCCTCCGCTGACAGTCTTTACTTCCTGATTTATCAATATTGGCTTCTGAATGGAACATGTTTCTTTCTGTTGACACGTAAACAGTTGCCCCTGGTACTTTTGCTTGTAACTGTTTTTGAGACAGTCCAAATCAGCTGCCTTCTCTCCTCCATGCGCCATATTAAGTCTTTGCTACTGTGGTCTGAACTCAGGTCAGTTCTGAGGCCCTTTTCCACTCCTGTAAAAGCCATCTTTGGGAATGAGCTTGCGGAATGCCCCCGTCTGCACCCTCTCCCCCAGTTTACTCAAAGTCCCTTTCCCGGACCTTGGAGGACCTTGGAGGTCTGCCTGTGGGTTGGGGGGGGCAGATGCTACAGTGTTGAATTTGATTTAAATCAGGTGAAGTTACACACTGGCCAGTGACTCCCTGGGGTGCATTTTTCTTCTCTGTGAAATGCAAGTGTTACTATGTAAGAGATCCTTCCAATGGCTAAAATGTTGCCAATTATGGTGCTACACTGGTCTAAGTCCGACCCCTGAACCGTGAGCATGGCTAAGGAGCCCTACAACACAAAATGTCTCCATAGGTGAGAGTTCAGCGGAAAGGCCCAGAAGGAAGCCTCAGGAAGGCTCCGATCCTCTGGGTTTGGTTTTCCTCGTCTCCCTGTGGCTATTTCCAGAAGATTCAAGTGACAGTACTGTCCTTCCCTCACCTAAGAATCCTCCCTGTTCCTTTCATCACGTTCCTGAGGAGCAGGTGGCCCGTCTGAGCCAACGGTGTCATCCCACCAGGAGGAGGGCCAGGCCTTCTACAGTGACCTGTGACCCCGCGGTGAGCCCTCCGCAGTGTGGCCCCGGCCTCCCCCAGCCCGTGACCTGTGACCCCGCGGCGAGCCCTCCATGGCGTGGCCCCGGCCTACCCCAGCCTGTGACCTGTGACCCCGCGGTGAGCCCTCCATGGTGTGGCCCCGGCCTACCCTAGCCTGTGACCTGTGACCCCGTGGTGAGCCCTCCATGGCGTGGCCCCGGCCTACCCCAGCCCGTGACCTGTGACCCCGCGGTGAGCCCTCCACGGCGTGGCCCCGGCCTACCCCAGCCCGTGGATCATGAGCTGCTCCTCTTCCTTGCCCATCCGGACGCTGAGGAGGGAGCGAATCTGGCCCAGGGCGGCCAGCAGCTGGCCGGTGTCGCTCACGGAGGCCTGGCTGATGGTGTAGGTCTTGCGCAGGGCCCGCAGCAGCTCCCCGGTGCTGTCGTACTGCCTCCGGAGGAGGTCGAACATCACGCGGACCAGCTCCGCGTCCTGGATCTGGTTCTCCTGGGCCCAGCAGATCATGGTCTGGGAGACCAGCTCCCTCAGCGTGGCTGGGAAGAGAACAGGACAGGAGGAGCACGGGGGCTGTGCGGCGGCCGCGCTCATGCAGGAAGCACGGCGGCGCGGCAGGCCATGAGGGGGATAGAGAATAATACACCACAGACACTTAAAAAAGGGACACTGCAGTGACAATGAAAGGAGCCCACATTCCGTTGGATCACACACTAGACAAGACTGTCTGAGCCTCTGCGAGCTCAGGAGCCAGCTAGTCACGCTCTTACTTCATCGTAACATTTTGTCTTTGTGATGTGGAGCAGCAACACTGCAGCGAGCGTGCTGGCGTGCCTGGCATGGAGGAGAGCGCTGACCAGGAGGGGGGGGGGGAGAAGGGTTAAACACGGCTCCTCAGACACCGGAGTTCTCACCACGGGTGAGATCTCTGAGCACCTTAGAGACCCCACACACCCTACACTGACGCCTCGACGTCACCGACTTCAGAGTTACAGAAGACACTTTCTGTGATGAACACACACAGGTAGATTAGGAAACAGAGGGGCGGTCAGGGCTGAAGGCTGGGAGCTGGACACCGACCATCGCCCCGGAGCCGACCTCACGCCCTGGGACTTGGCAGCAGTCGGCGGACACCACTTTCTCAACCAAGCACCAAGAGGCAGCAGCCAGCCGGGAAGGCGAGGCTGACCGCTGGGGACACTGCTGGTAAGCTGTGCTGTCTCCAAGTCCAGTGCTGAACTGAGAACCTCAGCGCAGACCAGGTTCAAGTCTGAACCATGGGACGAGGAGCTGGCTGGCGTGCCAGCGGGAGGACGAGGAATAAACTCGGTGGGCGCTTCCTGCGGCTGGCGCCCTGCCCACGCTCCGCCGTCTGCTCCCTGCCCCTGGCTGTGGCAGCCCTGGGCCCTACGTGCACTCTTGGCTCAGCATACGAACGCAGTTACTGACTGAGTTACTCACCTCAGACTCCTCAGTTGCTGATGCTCAAAGGCGATCTGGAGGTAAAGGACCAACTTAACTTACTGTGGTGCCTGCAGCCCTTCGGGCATTTAGGTGAGAGCCATCAGCCGGAAGCTCAGAGAGGGACACCCAAGTAGGAAGGTATAGAAAGATGACCCCAGAGCTCTCTCAAGGCAGGAGCTGCCAGACCTGGCTCCTCTCAGGAGACGCGTTTCTGGGACACACAGGCTCCCATTTCTGCTAGTTAACATTCACAGTCTGAACAAAGGCAAGCACAGACTCTCATACCCAGCAGAAGGTTGGCTAGTGCCTCTAATGCCTATCCGATAGCATGGAAGAATGATAGATCTCACCACCGATACCCAAATCCTCCACAGAGAGAGAATGCCCAGGGTCCAGCCTCCGCCGCACAGGAGAAGCGACGGTCAGAGGACACAGAACTGGTCACCAGCCTATGATTACCCCTCTCACCAGGGAGTCGCGATGAAACCTAGTAAATATTAGCTTTCAATTAACATGGATTTCAGGTTAATTTAGGATTTAGGTGAACTCTGAGCTCCATGCTGATCCAAAAATCCCAATTAGCCGATACCCCCCAAGAGGACAAATGAGCACCAGTGCTTCACCCTGAAGCACAGGGCAGGACAACTTTGAAAACCAAGATCCCTGTCTAGACAATCTCAGCTAGAACAAGGTAACCAAGCAAACAGACAGTCAAAACACAAATGTGGGGCTGTGGCTGGTGCTTGTTATCAAAGCTACTTAGAAGACAGAAATCAAGAGATCACAGTTTTAGGCCATCCCAGGTAAAACAGCGAGACTCCCATTCTAACAAATACACTGTCTGGGAGGAGTAAACTGGAGGATTGTGATCTGAGGCTATCCCCAGGCAAAAATGTCAAGCCTCATCTAAAAAGTAATGAAGCCAAAAAAGCCCAGGGCAAGGCTCAAGTGGTAGAGCACCTGCCGAGTGTGAGGCCCAAGGTTCAATGCCCAGTACCACCAAAACAGCAACAATAACAAAACCAAATATGGTCCCAGGTCCAAGCAAAATTCAGCATTGCGGTATCTAGTACACAGGGACAGATGGAACTCAGTGGGAAGTACGACACTGAACAGAGCTCCAGACTGTGAGGCCAATGTTCAGGGAGTAAGAAGACGCGAAGCCAAGGTCGGCAGGCCGGGGGTGGGCAGGGAGGGAGCACGCTGAAGAATCCTGGAAAGCAGGGCCTATTTTGGAGTCTGACATGTGCCAGATGCTCAGATCCACTAGCAAGCCTGAGCCAAGTCGGTGAACCCTGAGGTCAAAACACTCGGGGTTGAGGATGGAGCGGAGACGCTGCGGTTGAGTTTGCAGGACCACCGCACTTCATCTCCAGCTGGAACGGGAAGCTTAAACTAGCAGCAATGCCGCCAAGAGTCCTCGAGTGTATTGCCTCCTTAGCTGCAGCACAGCAGCTGCGACGCAGTGCCGTGGTCAGAGCATCACGAAGGACCCATGTCCTCCCCGGCTGTGCCAGGCCCCGGCGGGGATTCGCGTGGAGTGGGCGTTCCCTTGTCCACCACTATTCCCCGTTAACCTGGGGGTTCAGGCAGCATGCAAGGTCAAACATATCTGTTAGTAATTCTTAGGTGTTATTTGCCTAAGCATGTCCTGGGTGCGCCAGAAAAATGCTGATTTTTATCAAGGAAGCTCCTGGCTTCGCATTGACTCCGGCATGGCACAATGCTAAATACGCATAAACATCAGTGGCTTCTCCAGGGGACAGATTCGCCAAATTAGCCACGTTTCATCAAATGCCATTTCTGCCGAAGAGAACGAACCGAGGCTAGCCACAGCAAGTGAAAATATCACGACTAAGTGATATTTTCTTAAAAAATGAGAGAAGTAAGTCTTTCTCTTCCAATGGCAGCATTTGTTGCCAATAATGAAATGTGCGTTTTTCAAGGGAAAACTGAAAATTTGGCAAAACCATTTATCTGCACTGTGAGCTTTAACAGCTTCTCCATACTTGTGTCTTTTCTGATTGAACTGTTGATATTAACAAATGTGACTTTAAAACCTAAATGTGTCACATTTGGAGCTCTGCAGTACTCAAGGAGCTGATAATTTCTCAATGATCAATGCAGGAAATTTCACAGGAAAAGTCAATCAACATGCTATATAACCCAATAGATGGTTTCATGTCATAAAGTACAAAAACGTCTTCAATGGGGTTTCAGACTCCACATGTCAACTACGTTTTGAGACTGCTACTTGCTCAGTTTTGATACAGTATCAGAAAAGCAAGTCCACAACTTCATGGAGGGTCTATGAAAGTGCTCCTCCCTTTTCAACAGTTTTACCACTGTAAGGCTAACTTTATGCTATGTTTTAAATAAATACAAGAACCCAGCTGGCCGGGAAGGTGGCTCAGCGGTAGAGTGTTTGCCTAGTGTGCATGAAGCCCTGGGTTCATAAGCAGAAAAGTCAGAAGTGGTGCTGTGGCTCAAGCGGTAGAGTGCTAGCCTTGAGCACAGAGAGGCTTTGGGACAATGCCCAGGCCCTGAGTTCAAGCCCCAGGACCGGCAAACTCTCCACCCCCCCCCACACAAAAAGAACCCAGTTGCCTTTCAGATATCAAAGATGTTTAGCTAAACTGAAAATAAGCTACTGTTCTGTTTTTCAAATAGTAATTTTCTAGGACAGCTATTATTTATGTAACAGACAATTAAGGTTTCAGAAATTATTATTAAATCAATTAACAGGCAGACATTAAATGTCTTATTTTAACCCAGTAAACACTGACAAAATAAAAATAAACCTGAGCTTGAACACACTCTCTCTTTTTAGGATAACAATTTAAAATTTTAAAGCCAAAATTAAATGTAAATAGCTTCCTTCAATTACACAGTGTTCTCAAGAGTTCTTCACTACTTCAGTTGGGCCTAACTAATTTCTAGAAGTACAAAAAGCTCTTAAGACCAAAAGCTTTGAGAAGTGCTCGTGGGTGGGGTAAGGGCTGACGGGAGGCCAGGACTGGCCAGCACATCTCCCCAGCCCAGAGGACACGGGAGCCCTGTTCCTGAGGCTGCAGGATTCCAATCAAGGCACAGAAAGACTCAGCGTAGAAAGGTTTCCGAGTTTTTTTCTAGATGGGAGGTGGACTAAAAATGAGCGTAAGAAGAGTAAATACAGTGAAAACTAAAGAATTATTATTGTGAAAAACTGACTCAGCTGTCAAGGGCGCTGGCCATTATGCATTTGCATCAAAGTGCTTCCTGTTAGTCCAAAGGCGCGAAACACTCTGCTTTCCTCTTCTCTAAATGTGGCTTACGATCGTGTGCTTTAGAGCAAAGAGGATCCAGCAGGTGTCGGGCAAGGCTAAGGGCCTTCTTGGCCTGCTCCACGGCCCAGTGAGGTTGGGCAGGCCAGGAAGAGGGGGAGACCTTGATTCTCCAACCTCGCATTAGCCGGCCTTTCAGGAGGCTTTGGTGTGAGGAGTCCTGTAAAGCAGGCTGTGAGTGATAGAGCCTTGTTCTGGAGTCAGTGCACACCACCTCTTCCATGGGCTCGATTACCTGCAGTTCTCTATATTTCTAGAACAAGCCCCACGGTGTGGAGACCACAAAGCTGAACTTAAGGTGCACGGGAACCTTGAGTCATCTGTGAGGTCATAGGAGTATTTTTCCAATACAACCTTTCTTCAAGAAATGATCCTCACATGTAGCTCTTGAGTATTTGTATTTTTTCCCTTACATCAGTGGAGAATGCTGATGATTTTAGTAGCATTTCAAATATTCTCTGGATACACCTGAACCTCTTTTATAACCAAAGAGAGACAATACATAAAGAACAGGTGCAATTGAATACTGATTACATTTCTGTTGCTTTTCTAAGTTTATCTTTAGAAATTATGCCCTTATAATCCCTACAAAACACATCAGTATTCATAAGAAACGACTCCTGACGCAGGAGAGAAGAGGTGAAGTTTATAGTCTGCCACTGGGGCCAATCTGTCTTCCTTGCTTACTAAAGATTTTCCAGCTGAACCTTGAAATTCTGGCATTCTCATCCACTAATTGAATGGAGCTTCAA